GAGGTGAAGGTGGGAGGATTGCTTGTGCCCAGGAGTTTTAGGTTGCAGTAAGCTATAATTGTGCCACTGCACTTCTGTCTAGGCAACAGAGAGAGACCCTGTCTCAAAAAGAAAAATTATAATAAAAGACAAAAAAAGGACATAATATACAGATGCTCCCCAATTTATGATGGGGGTAAATCCAAATTTAATTTCATTATTTTCTCTATACACAGTTAAATTGTTTCTAATTTTTCCATTTTTTTATTTTAAAGAAATTATTTTCCTTGAGATAAATTCTTTTCTATTTCTATCATTAGTTGAAAATATCTTAAGTCCAAAATGTATATTAGCTTACAATTGGACAAAATAATCTAACACAAAGCCTATTTTATAATAAAGTTTTGAATATCTTATGTAATTTATTGAGTACTACACATTAAGTCAAAAGTGCAATGGTTTTATACCATTGTAAAGTCAAAAAATTGTAAGTCAAACTATTGTAAATCAGGCACCAACTCTATTAATAAAAGGGTAAATTCCTCAAGAAGCCATAACAATTGTAACATATATGCAGCAAACAATGAGCCTCAAACTATATGACACCAGCACTGATGTATTTGAAGGGAGAACTAGATAGTTTCACTCATGTAGTTGGAGACCTCAATATTTCACTTTCAATAATGGATAGAACATCTAGACACAGGAGCAATATGGAAATAGAGGCATGTTACCCATGTTTCTTTCAGTTCAACAGGAACCCCATCCTTCAAATGCCAATTGGAAAGAAAAGGAGGACAGTATTATAAGTGCTATTACAAATGTTATTGTTAAATGCTGCTGCACCATTTGAGACATTTCGTGACTATCACCACTCAAGACGCACTTTATCATAAGGAACCACTTTAGGCACCAGACTACTGTCTTCTCAGGTCACAAGTCAAGGTTCAACACTTGTCTTCAAACCCCACACAGTTCTAGGGAGATTGAACTACAGGGCATCCAGCATCCGTTACTCCTGTGTCACCAAAGCACTTAGACCTTTGTCTAGGCCTCCAGTCAGACTCCTGCTTACTCAGAATAATTTTATTTCAAGGGGCCTTTCTCCCAGCTCCTAGGCTATGACCAGACTCCCCCCATGCTTTCCTTAACAAGATTCCTTGACCTTAAATTCAGGGAAGACAAATCAGATGTCTTTCCCTTCCATTCTGGAAGGCTCTGGGTAAAACTGGTTCACTCCTGCCCAGCTACCAGCTCTGTGAAACATGGTGGAAGGAAACATTTGCTAACTGACTTAAAACATAAAAGATTTTATAAAACCCTAATTCTAGCCGGGCGTGGTGGCTCAAGCCTGTAATCCCAGCACTTTGGGAGGCCGAGGCGGGTGGATCACGAGGTCAAGAGATCAAGACCATCCTGGTCAACACGGTGAAACCCCGTCTCTACTAAAAATACAAAAAATTAGCTGGGCATGGTGGCGTGTGCCTGTAATCCCAGCGACTCAGGAGGCTGAGGCAGGAGAATTGCCTGAACCCAGGAGACGGAGGTTGCGGTGAGCCGAGATCGCGCCATTGCACTCCATCCTGGGTAACAAGAGCGAAACTCCGTCTCAAAAAAAAAAAAAAAAAAAAAACCCTAATTCTAGGAGAATGGGGGGAGGAGGTTGCTGTATTTATTCTACTAAGAAGGCCACTCAAGTGACCCTTCACAGGATAGAGATAATCATCTTCTCCAGATTAAAAAGAAGTATCTGGTTAATTGCCAATAAGTAATACAGACAATGAGTACCAGAGGAGTTCTGAGAACAAGAAGATCAAAGAGGTTTGAAGGCAACCAGAACATTTTGAATCTGCTACTACTTAGAATGCAAAATTTGTCACCCAAATTTTACCATCACAGATTCATTTTTAAGAGAAAGTATTCTGGAGCAAACTCCTTTATTAAAATTTAATTTCATAAGTTTCTCTATAATACAACTAAATTGTTTCAAATTTTCTCATTTCTAAAAGAAATTATTTTCCTTGGGATAAATTCCTTTTTATTTCAATTTTTTGAATAAAGACTATCTCAATTCATACCATTGTATTTGTTTTTAACAGCTTTATTGAGCTATAATTCACATACCATGCAATTCATTCATTTAAAATGTACAATTTAATGCTTTTTAGTATATTTACAGAGCTGAACAATCATCACCACAATCAACTTTAGAACAATTTTATTACTTCCAAAAGAAACTCCATCCCTATTAGCAGACACTCCCATTCTCCTGAACCCTCATCCCTAAGCAACCACTAAGCTGCTTTGTCTTTATAGATTTTTCTATTCTGGACATTTTATACAAATGGAATCACACACTATATGATCCTTTCTGACTGGCATCTTTTATTTAGTATGCTTTCAAGATTTATGCACATTGTGGTATATATTAGTACTTACTCCTTCTTCTTGCCAAATATGTCACTGTATAAATATACTACATTGTATTTATTATTAATCAGGTAATGGACTTATAGTTTCATCACTTTCTACTTTTTGGCTATTATGAATGATGCTGCTATGAATATTCACATACAAGTTTTTGTGAAGGTACATTTTTGCTTATCTTCTTGGGTATATACCTAGGACTGGAGTTGTCAATTGGTTGCATTTGACCTTACCTAATTTTCTTGGCTAGCACTCCTATATTATGTTTATGTAATATATATATGGCAGAAAGACATAGAGAGAGACAGAAAGAGAAAGAGAGACTGTACCTATTTGCATGTCTTAATCAGGAATTTTTGCATGCATAGCAGATTCAATAATCATGGAGTTGAAAAGGTGGCATCAAAGTGATTGGCTCAAAATATCCTACAAAGGAAAAAATTTCTTGAAAAAATGTCTAACCAGAGTTGAGCTGGTTTTTGTAAAGAACTGGAGAGAAGAGAGAAGATGGTGCTCTAGTAGGGGCCACAGCACAAGTAAAGGCCTGGTGATTGGGCTGAATATAGAGTACATGGGGAATAAGTAAAAGTTAATAGAAGATGAGGCTGGAATGATTTGTTAGAAATCACCTCATCAAGGTCTTTGAATGGCATCCTCAAGGGTTTAAAGATTACATTTTTATAGCTTTAGGGGGCATTGGAGACTAGTTTTGATACATCAATCACATGATCAGATCAGATGGGCATGATCACAGTGAGGACTGGCAAGTGCAGGCAGGATGGACCTAAGTGAAGAGAAACTAAGGAAGCCCTCGTCCTTGGGTGTCTGTTGCAGCAATTCAGGGCTGGGATAAAAGTTTTGAGCATAGCCAGCTGGAAGTCAGTAGCTTAAATATTGATTTAGTGGGCAAACACCACATTCATCACGGGGCTGGTTCCCTAAAAACCCTGTGCCTGTGTGCAGGGAACTCATCATTTCCCTATTACATAAATTGATTAGGTCATTCAGAGCTGAGATTGATGCCAGAAATTTGCTGCTAATCAAGCTAAAATAGCAAGTTGGAGGACAAGACAGGCCTTCTGCCAACTGGGCAAGGAACTGGTCCCAGAGGCAGGGAACACTGCAGTGAAGCACCCTGTCTCTGCTTTGGGAGTCTGGGCAAAGACGGCCTCTGAGAAGCCTGGCAATGCCCTTCAGTTACATCTGGAGTCTCCAGGATACCTCCTAGAATGACACTTCTTAGGGCTTCTGTCAAGAGCTGACCAGCCAAGTAGAATCCAGCCCCAGAGGTCCATGACAGGGCTGTCCTCACTGTGTGCCGAAGCTATAAGAATGGGGTTACTGGGGGAACAGGGCCTAGGGCAGTATCTGTGGAGAGTCCAGGGGAGGCAAAACCTTGGAGAAAGAGGTGACTTGGTTTTGGCAATAATAACAATAGTCTGCAATAACTCAATTTTGTGTTTGTATACACCTTGTACTGTGCTCCAGAAAAGAGGTTGGTTCAGCTTTCTTGGTGGATAAGATATTCTCCCCCTCACACAGAGACACCCTGGTGCCATTCTAAGAAGAGCCCTGCAAAACTAGCCACATGCCATCCAGTGCCAGGAAGCCTAGTTCTGATATGGTGGTGGTGGAGTTTCTACCCATCTCTCCATAATACAGAGGAAAGTGTACTTGGCTCCATCTATAAACTGGAGCAGCATATCTGAGAAGACCCAATCTCCAAAGCCCCCTGGTTTGGGACAATCAACATCCCAAGTCAGATGCCTTTCAGCTTTGGGCAGCTCTCCTGTCCTGCAGCCCACCTCTCATTCTGTGACCGGCCCTGGTTTCAAAGGTGTGAAATGCTCAGTGAGTGGTACTTTTAGTACTGTGACCCATAATTGACTGGCGCTGCTACCACCCCTTTGGGTTGACCTTAGCCTGGAATCCTTCCTATTCTGGAAGCCAGACAGCCCCGGATTAGAAATGGGTGGGTGGCAGGGGCGGGGGGTGGCGGAGAGGCAAGGGGCAGGAGTCTGCATTTTGCCACCGCTCACCCTCCTGGGATATCCAAGCGTAGCCATCGTTGTTATTTTTATTTTCTGCCATCATATCATCACCAGGGTCCTTCTTCCTGCAGTCTATAGTAAGGGGGAGGACAGGAAAGGAGCTGGCTGCCCGAAGAGGATGATTTTCTGCCTATACTGAGGGTTTTGCTCGCCAGAACTTTGTGGCCCCGGCAAAGCCTGCTTGTGCCCAGCAGAGAAGCGCCCGCAGCCGCGCGGGACATCTGCAGTCTTTTCCTGCCGCGGTGGGGCGTAGGGGGCGACCATTTCCCCGGGGCGTTCCATAGCCCCCGCGCTGGCCTCAGGGGAGCTGCTACTGGAGCTTGCCCTACACCTCCTCTATTCCTCTACTCTCTACTGCAGCCAGGGTATTATTCCCTGCCCCGGGCTAGAGAGGCGGTGAGCTGGGGTGGCGACAGGAGCCCGGCAGTCCCCTGGGCGCTTTCTCCTCCCGTGGCACCTTGGTCCCCCACCCGCGCTTGACTCCTCCCCCGTCTCTATTCCGCAGCGTCCCCGCCCTGTCAGCAGTCTGCTTCAGCGACCGCACCTGCCTCGGGTGGCGGGTGGGGGGTGCACACGGAAGGTAGAAGGGAAAACAGGGAGGGTTTGAGGAGCACAGCGCATCGGGGTGAGCAGCCTCGCCCTGGCCTCGGATCCCTGCGACCCTAGCTGCTCGCGCCAGCCCGCAGCTGCCGCACCGATGCGCTGTCCGCGGTGCTGACGCCGGCTGCCCGCTCGGTCGGGAGGGGGAGAAAACGCCCTCGTTCTCCGGTAGCTCGGAGCCCAGCGATCGCCTCTTCCCGATTCCCGGTTTCCAATGGAACCCGCTGCTTCCTGGCGCCGCGGTTCTATCCAGAGCAAATGAGTTAGCGAAGGAGGAACTTAAACTTCGGACTAGAGCCCGAGAACCCAGTGTCGGGGATTCGCGTCGCGCGGCCCCCAGCCCTGGAGACCTCGGAGCACCACCAAGTTAAGCAAAGTTTCACCGCGGCTTGAGATAAGAGAGGGACTCCGGAGAAGAAGCGCAGGGAGGGGCAAGACGAGGTTCCCCAGCGGGGTGGTAGCCAGCACCGCAGTCGGACACCTGCTCCGATGCCCTGCATCAGTGCCACCAGAGCCACCGGGAGGCATCGCAGCAGCCCAACTCTCCACCCCCTCCCTCCCGTCCCTACTCACCCCTCCCCACACCCCGCCCCGGGCGCCAGTGACTCCGCCTCTCCCTGCCGGGCGGCTCTTCGGCTAGAGCTGAGAAAGGAGCGCTTCCCCGGACTCGGCTCGGCTCCGAGGCTCCGAAGCCGACGCCGCCAGCTCAGCTCCGGGGGCGGGAGCAGGACTGCCCGCGCAACCCGCACATAGGAGCCACCGAGCCCGAACGACTCATGGGACGCCCCCGGGGGCTCTCTACGTGCCTGGCTGCAGCGTCCCGGTCCTAGGCGCCCGGGCTCCACGGCCCATCCCGCCCGCAGCCCGCGGCCTGTTTGGAGAGGAGTATGAGGCCCGGGGCCCCGCGGACGCCGGCCACGGGGCGGCAGGGGCCTAGCTGCGGAGCCCCGCGCCCGAGGGCGGCGGGTAAGGAGCCGCAGGAGCCGGCGAGGCGTCGGGGCGCGGAGACAAGCGCCCCTGCCTGGGCACCCGCTGGGCCGCAAGACTCGCGTGTGGCCTGAGCGCCCGGGAGGAGGCAGAGGCGCCCCTCCGTCCGGGCTCTGGGAAGGCGGCGAGGGGCTCCGCGGCGGCCCCGGACCCCTGGCCACCATCCTCACGTTCCTGCTCCCGCCGGGGGGATGTCGCGGCCCGGGCCCCGAGCGCCGCCTCGGCCCCGGGGCTGAGCTCCGGACCATGTCCTCCCGCAGCCCCCGGCCCCCGCCCCGCCGTAGCCGCCGCCGCCTGCCGCGCCCCTCCTGCTGCTGCTGCTGCTGCCGCCGCTCGCACCTCAACGAGGACACCGGCCGCTTCGTGCTGCTGGCGGCGCTCATCGGCCTCTACCTAGTGGCGGGTGCCACAGTCTTCTCGGCGCTCGAGAGCCCCGGCGAGGCGGAGGCGCGGGCGCGCTGGGGCGCCACGCTGCGCAACTTCAGCGCTGCGCACGGCGTGGCCGAGCCGGAGCTGCGCGCCTTTCTCCGGCACTACGAGGCTGCGCTGGCCGCCGGCGTCCGCGCCGACGCGCTGCGCCCGCGCTGGGACTTCCCGGGCGCCTTCTACTTCGTGGGCACCGTGGTGTCAACCATAGGTGAGCGGCGCGCCCTCCGCGCGTCTTTCCTCTCCGTACCTTTCACCTGCTGCCCTTTCCGCTGCTCGGCCGCTCGGTTTGCGTCCCTCGGCTCGCCCTTCCCTTCTAATGTCCCTTTGCCTACTTTTGTCTCGCCCTCTCTTCTCCGCCCGCCCCCGCCCTCCCTCTTTCCCGGCTTTCGGTGCGGAAGGAAAGCCCACCTCTGGCGCTCACCCCGGGTAACTCGCCTGGCGGTGTGGCTGAATGGTGAGAGCCCGGGCTGCCTGCGTTCCGAGACTGTCCGGCTCCGTGACCTGACCTCTGTGAGCCTCTGTTTTCTCCTCTAAGAATACCTGCCAAGGGCTATGGGTTCTTTCCTATTTTCCATCCACAACCCCTGGGCCTCAGTTTCCTTCCCAGGATTATCTCAAAAGTCCCTTCTCCCTCCACCCTCAGTGCTTTTATTTCTTTTCATAGTCTCTCCCTCTTACTTCTTTTACCCTGTGTTTCCCCACCTCCAGTGGCCTCTAACTCCTTTACCCTGGAGAGGGGGACCACTTGCCCCAGAATCACTTTCCCTAGATCTCCTTCCCACCTGCTACTCCTATAATCCATACCGCCCCCCACGCGTCCCCCAAAGTAAAGCCCGTTAGCCTGAGGCCAGGACTTCGGCTGCTGCTGTTCTGTCTCCCTTCATTCTGCTCTCCCCCAACTCCCAGCCTTTTCTCCAATTTCTTGACCTTTTCTTTGTTCCCTTGCACTTTTTCCAACCATTAGTGGTAGCAAGGGGTAGCTGGGAGCAGGGATGGTTCCCCTGTTCTTTCCATCATCTCTTCTCCCATCTCATCTCTTTCCATCATCTCTTATATTTTGGGATATAAACAGTTCATGTTTTCTCAACCTTATGAAGAATGCTGTGTAAATAGTCCTTCAAGCCCCCACCCCTCTCTCTGTGGCCAGATTGCTGCCTCTGAGCTGCTGTGGAGAAATTCTGGAGCCACCACTGCTCTCCATCCACCCCTTCCTTCCTCTTTTTTTCCTCTCCTCTCACTCACTTTCCCCATCCCCCACTTTCCCTGGGCCCTGGGTGTCATGTGAAACAAAGCCTCCACCCTCAGTTACTCACCTGTATGGGGTGCAGCAGAAATGCAAGCTTATTACCTTGACAAGGATGTGTGTGTCCCCCATTCCTGCTTTGAATCCCAAGATGGAAGAACGCACTTGGCTGGTCACACCTCTAGTCACCCCAAGGCACTGTCTCCTGCTGTGCAGTTTTGGAGGAGGGGGCTGGATTTGCTGGGCTGAGACGTGAGGATTTCAAAGACACACCTTCTGGAGTGGTTTAGCATGCCAGTTCAGAGACAGAGGCATGGACTGTAACTGACCAGGGTAAGCCATGGCAGATGGCTGCTTGGAGGCAGGGAGAGAGGCTGCCTCCATGTGCAGCATATGAGCAGCTAGAGATGTCTCTCTAAGTGTATATGTATAGTCTATGAAAGCACTTCCTTGCCTTCAATGATTTTTCATGTGTCATGCTTGATCTGATTATTTTAAATAGAAAAGGCAAATATGGCCCAAGTCCAAAGCACACACAAATTGGATAAAAATACCCTTTAAAAAGCTATATCATGTTGTTATGGTGATAGAAGATATAAAATGACCCCCTCAAAAAAAAAATCCCCTTTTAAGAGCTGCATCAAGTTGCTATAGCAACTAGAGTTTTTTCTTTTTTTTTTTAAGTGCTTTAAAAGTACTAAGGATGCTTAGTCCTGGAGGATGACATCATGCATCCATAGCTCATTGTTGACCTGTGCTCTTCGTTTTGTAAACATGCCCTTTCCCTTTCTTCCACCTAGAGGCACCTCTGCACATACTGGGTGGTCACAGCATTTTTTTCCCCAGTGACATGTTCCAGCTTCCTAATGGAACCCACAGGCTAAAGGGGAAGCTGTTGGTAGTGTCCCTTTCGTTTTTGGGCCATGAGTCCATCCAAATAAGTCCCCATTCCAATGACCTGTGGTCTCTGATGAGTTCCATCAATCTGTCGTTTGGTGCCTCTTTGGAGGCACTGATTCTGAGCCCAGCCACAGCTTCTAACGCTTCTCTTTCAGCAATTTGCACAAAATCAAGTCAGTGTGTTGGGAAATTGTTCCATGCCCCAGCCTTTAGTCTATTGGCAGGATTGGCTGTTCTTTAGTCAAGTGGAAAGGAACTATACTCTCTTTCTTGATTTGTGTTTTCAGATGTAGGCAAGCAATGTAGGAGGGCTACACTGAACCATGTGGTTATGTTACGAGTGACCCAGCATGTTGCTTCCAAAATCTGCAGGGAAACATTCAAACCAGCCTCAGGATTGAACTAGCCCTCTGTGAGAATGCCAAGACAGCCACACAGGTAGCAGGGTTTCTGCTGGTTATCACCCTACTGGGGTCAGTGGTTCAAATTGGTCACTTCCATCAGTCAGATAAGTTCTGCTGAATCTCCAAGTAGCGTAATTGGCATTTCAGCCTTCTCTTTACAAAATGCACTTGGCTGAGATTTAAGTAAAGATCTGCACAGGTCAGTTTCTCTTCTGCTTACATAGTTCCTTTCTCTTAAATGGCCTAAATCTTCAGAGACAATTATTATTATTATTGATGCTTTTATGGGTTCAACATATCAGGGAGCCAAAGCTCAGTCCACAATGGGCTGTCAGGATTCTTTATCTGCCTCTTTATCCAATGAAGAGGAAAATTAGCACATACTCAGTTTTATTTGATGAGTGAGTATCACAGTGTATATGGTTCACACAGTGCCATGGAATTCAAGGGAACAAAATGATTTGGTTCAGCTATGTATACTGCCTAATCAAAAGGATATGTGTGTGTGTGTGTGTGTGTGTGTGTGTGTGTGTGTGTGTGTGTGTTGTAGACCCAGCTATATTATTCACCTAGACTTTAGTGTAGAAAATCTTCCCTTCCATTCATTCCATAACATGATTGTGTGTATCAGGCTATATTTTGAAAGGTTAAAGCTTATTCTACATGGCAAGATTAAGGCATATTCCAATATGGGCAGCTGGATCGCAGCATTTATGAGCAACATATCTTCGCCATCCTCACTGAAGAGGATTAGAACAAGAAAGGGACCTTTGGCCCAATCTCATTTGGCAACAGGGTTAGGGGACTTGTCAATGGTCACACAGTTAATGAGGGGCTCAGCTAGGTCCAGAAACCAAGTTGTGCAGTATCCACCAATTTCATGCATATAATTGGTGGGAACATTCTTGTTTGAAACTAAAGTATTTAATAAAGGATATGTGTCTGTCTGTCTGAATGAGAAAGAGAGAGAGAGAGAGAGAGAGAGAGAGAGAGAGGTGTGTGTGTGTGTTTGTGGGTGTGTGCGTGTTTGTGTGTGTGTGACCAGGCCAGGGACTGGTCTGCTGGTCTATTGGTCAGGTCATCAACTGATTAACTCCAGAGAAAACTTGAAGGATCAGACAGATCTTATAGGTCAGGCAAGTTAGAAGCATCTGGCAGGTCTTAGCTAGTCAGGCAAGAGCCAGCATAAAGGGCAGAGATGAGGCACTAACAAGTAAGAGAACTTCTGGCAAACTGGGATCTAAGGACAGAAGTCACTTGCTTTCTGCCCTTTTTTGCACCAGTGTGTGTATGTGTGCACAAGTGTGTGCATGTGTGTATGCATGAAGGCACACACACTCTTGGGAGCACATGTTTATAGAGGTGGGGAAGAAGGGGCAGGAATGGGCTTTTTCACCTGGTCAAAGATGTAATGAAAGGTTCAGGTATGGCTGTGTGTACTCAAGGTTACATGGAACACTATGATGATGTAGAATGTTTATCCTGACATTTGGTTTGAACAGGGTCCTGTATCCACAGCTGGCCAGTTTGCAATCGTGTAGATACACGTGTGTCTACACAGTGCAGTACCAGTGGAAAATTTTGCCTGTGATTATTCAGCAGTCGTTTAGGCTGTGTAGAAAGTTAATCTGAATAACTCAAGCGAAATAAAAATCCACTTTGTAGTCTGAGTTATTCATAGTGATTGCTTATACTGAACTGAAATCCTGGGTAATTATTATTTCTCCCATTTACGCTATGTGACATATTCCCTAGGGGTTGAAATCTAGTTTGTTTTAATGTGAATATATCCTTGTATTCATTTCCCCAATTAACAAACATCTAAGACAACCATCACTCATCACAGATGCATGTGTGGCCTTGGCCTTGTCGTCTGCACATCCTGTGATTCTATGAACTAAAGACAGAGATAGTGTCTTATGTTCTTTTAGCATGAAACAATATTCTTGAAGGCAGTATTCCAGCTCAGAGATATTCCAAACAATCCAAAGAGAATTAACCCATCACTTCACATCCTAAAGAATGTTTGTCGGTTAACTTTGAAAAGATTAAATGGAAACTCTCCACTGGGATTTTAATTATGCATCTGCTGTCAAATTTACACATAGGAAAGAACATATTTTAAAATCTTTCTCAAATGGCAGCTTGATATAAACAGAAATATTTTTGCTTCCTTTTATTAGGTTTTCTGGCAGGGTTTTTTAGCTATAAAGCTAAAATCATGCCGCTGTAGATGGGATGGTGTAGGTATGAGAGTTGTCACTTTTGGCACTGCATAATTTAGCTTGCTACTTTCAGAATTAGGCACACTTAATTATTCAGCCACGAGATTAGTAACAAGTCCTAACTTTTTCCCTCTTTTTCAACATGGGTTTTTTAAAACTGTTTTTGCTACAAAGGAAGCTAAGACATTATAAGCCCAAAAATGTCACTACCACATTTACATTCAACTTTCTTCTAACATATATGTAATCCAGCTGGAGATAGTTTTGATATCTGGAATAAAATACATTATCCAGAAGGAGAGGTGCACTCTTCCTTGCATATTTCTCTCATCAACTTTTTTTTTTTTTTCTAACAGACACAGTCTTACTCTATTGCCCAGGCTGGAGTACAGTGGAGTGAACACAACTTACCACAGCCTCAACCTCCTGGGCACAA